ATACAGCAACTAGAAGGATGTGCAGCTATGACAGACAACTATGTACTGGGGCTTTGGGGGAAAAATAAATAAATAAAATCTTTAAAAAAAAAAAAAAAAAAAAAAAGAATTTCTAAGTTGTAAAACTATCCAGTAAATTTAGAGTGGTAGACAAGACCCTGATAATTGTGCTGTTGCAATGTTTGTGCTTTTTGTAAGAAAGTCTGCTCTGTGACCTTGGGGCGTGCGCCTCCCTGTGGTGAGAGGGCTAGTGCTGTGGCTTGGTGCTTCCTACATAGAGCCTTGAGAAGAAGAGCTGGAGAGGGCTGTGCTGGCTCCTTGTTCTGAAATGTTCTTGCTGTCTCTCTTCCTCTTTTCACTTCCAAGCTGACTCTTCCTCTCTTCTTTTGTGTTCAATGGACACTTTGTCCCATGTCAGAACTGCCAGATGGACAGGTTGGGCTTGATGACCCCAGAATAAGGACCTCTCAGATGAACTTTCTAACACTCAAATAACTGCAGCCACCACTGGAGAAAGCACAAAGTCATTCCCCGGGAGGAGAGTACATTTCGTCCCAAGAGTCAAAGCAATAGGATAATCAGGGTCTGACTGAGAAATTTTGGTTTGTTCATTTCAATTTGTTCTTCAATGCTGCACTGGAGAGCAACATTCCTAGGTTTTAGGGAACTGCCATTTCTCCCTCCTTTTAAGTGAATTTTACTAATCTATCATCTTCACTGTAAAGTATGAGAACAAAAGTACAGACCTCCACTGAGAGACTTCAAATTGTGTTAATCTTGTGGGAGATTAATGAATTTATGCTCCTCAAATGTCACACCCTTTCGTTTCCCCCAAGAGAGAAACACAGTGTGGGGTAGGTGGTTTGTGGAGCTCGCAGTAACCCAGTGTTAACTAAATGGTGCTAACTGAACAGATACAGAAAAACCTAGACAAGAAAGAAAAGGCAGCCATGTTGAAAAACGCCTCTTTGAAAACACAAGGTAGAGAAAATCAGTAATGTTTGCCAGGGAAACTGACGGCAGTGGGAATCTATGTATTTTTAATAACAACGTATGTTACTAATGAAGATAATAGATACATAGAAACAAAACAGTTCATGAGCCTGTGATCTTACGATAGGGTGAGGGGGCTTATGAAGAGGGTGGAGAAAAATCCTTCAGGTGCAGTCAGACTGAAAGACTCATTTCATATATAAGTAATTCCTGCCCATAGAATCATTTGTCCTTCAGTAAAAAAGCAAGAAGTGACTTCTTTCATGGTTCTGGGCAAGAATGACTGGATAAAATTTTTGAGAAGGTAGTTTGCAAGATGTTGTCAATAAAGTAAAAGGAAAAAGTGAGATGTGGGAGAGTTTGTCCCATTGTGGAATAATTTTATGTGCTAGCCTGGTGCTTGGCACATATTATTTATTGAACAAGTAATTGAATCCTATTTCTTTATAACATACAAAGTAAGTTTCCTAAAACCAACATTTAACAGCCACGTGATTCCAGGGCTGCCTAACTGCCCCTGATTCCCCTGTATCTCTTTCCCACTGTCTCTTGCTGCCTCCTGATTACACTGATTAAGCACCTATGTTGGATGTATCATGGTTTGGTGTGTTTTGCCAACAATTAAAACATCTAGAGGTAGAACTGCCCAATGAAATAGAGGATGCCCAGTTAAATTTGAATTTCAGATAAACAACAACATTTTTTTTTGCGTAAGGATGCCTCAATTATTACATGCTTCCTGCCAGCTCCAACAGCATTCCATTCTTTCTCTTCTGTCTTAATTGATTCACATCCCTTCATTCACTCACCACATATTTATTGAGCAACTTCTCTGTGTGTTGTGTTCTAGGTGCTGAGGAGAAGAGTCAACCAAATCAACAAGTTTGCTGCCCTCATGGAGGAGGGAAATAAGGAAATAAGGAAAGACCTCACAGAATATCAGGAATGTCGAGGGCATCAAAGAAAAACAGTGCAAAAGAAAGGAATGGGGGTGACTGTTGGGTGGACTCAAAAAGGAGTGGAGACTGTGTGGTTAAGTCTCCACGCAGGGAAGACGTCTCTGTGATGGGGACATTTGATTTGAGGACAGATGATGTGAAAATGTGAGTCATGTGGAGATCCGGGACAAAACTGTCCAGTCAGAGGGGACAGCAGATGATCTCGAAATCTAACACAACTTTGAAAGATCTAAACATTGTTGGTTTTTAGTGGTACTCTATTTTGGCCCCTCCCTGGCAATTATGTTTTCACTGCCCTTTTCTGTATCACATCAGCGGAGGGCACAAACGAACCGGCTGGCGGGGCTTCTCTGCTGCGACAGGAGAATGTGGGCAAAACCCTGTTTGTTCTCGTGGGCAGTTTTTTCTGAGGAAACTAATGAGAGGCAGTGTCCTCTGAAGCAGGCTTCCTCAACCCATTGGGTTCCTCCCCCGTGAAACCTAGGCCCAGGCAGCTGCGGGATGTACTGCTTTTTGAACGATGGAGAGCCAAGTAATCAGGCTGCTATACAGTTTAACTCTATTGGTTAGATACGGCATTAGCTTTCACATATAAACAGCTCCTGTATGGCACATTTCCCAATAAAATACAGAATAAAGGACCATGGGTCACAGTGACCTTATATTCTTAATCAAAAATGCTCCTACCTCCGGACAGCTGGGCCCCTATTCTTGGCCATGTACTAAAGGTGGCTAACCCTCACCTTTTGCATTAGATCCCATGCCCTTTGGACATTGCTTTGGAAAGTCTCATCTTCTAATCACAACCTCCAGTTTTGTCTCTCTCCTGCTAATAGCATAAAATCATGCTATCACTTCTCCCATCATTTGAAAACCCTCTCTTGGTCTCATATCACTCTCCAGCCATGCCTTCATTTCTGGGTCCCCTTTCTACCAAAATTCCTTAAAATAACTGCTATATTTGCTGTCTTCTACATCACACTTTATCTCTCTACTCCTCTCTCATCAGGCTTCCAGCTCCACCACTCTAGGACGCTGCTCTTGTCAAGGCCCCCACGATCCACCGCGCTGACATCAAGGGGGAGTCCTTGCCCTCAGCTTCTGGTGGATCACTTTCTGCTCCTGGAGGCAGTTGGCTTCCGACACCTCATTCTTGATTTTTCTCCTACTCTGCTTGACACTCTTTCTCAGCCTCTGTTGGTGTCTCCTCATTGCTCTGACTCCTAAACATTAGATGTCCCAGTGTTCATTTTCAGACCTTTTCTTCTCTTTCTACACTTGTTCCCTTTATGATCTCATGGCATCTCTACACTTATATCTCCCACATTTATATTTCCAGCCTATACCTCTTCCTCAGAAGCCAGTGTCCTTTGTGTAGCTACCTAGACAAGAGCTCATGGGCACCTCAAGCATCATCTGTCCCCACGTCTTTGCTGCTGTCACCCTGTTCCACATCACTATTGTTTCTCAAATAAGTGTGGTAGCTTTCTAATTAGTCTTCCTGTTTCTACCCTTGTCTCTCTACAGTCTATTCTTGAAATAGTAGTTGGAGTGATACTTTTAATACATGCAGATCATATCCTGCCTGTGCTTAAAACCCCAACTTTCCTCCATCTTGGAATAAAAGTCCGAGTCCTCATGTTGGTTGTCAAGGCTCCACCCAGGGGACACCTCCCCCTCTCCCGCTCCTTCTCTCCAGCCACACTGGCTTCCTCACTGTTTGTCACTGGTCAGCTCCACTCCCCCTCCAGACCCTGTGCTTGGTGTTCCCTCTTAGACTGGAGTGATGTTTTTTCAGATCCACCTGACTCTGAGCTCCATAAGCTGTCTGCTCAGATGTCAAGTCGTGTGTGTGAAGCCTCCCCTGGCCACTCTGTGTAAAATTGCAGCCCCGTTTCCCAGCTTTATTTTCTTCTCAGCACCTGTAACCTTCTAATGCGTATATAAGATGTACGTGTCTGTATATCTTCCCTGCCCCACCCCTCTGGCATGTAAATTCTTGAGGTCAGGGATTTCTGTTTTCTTCGTCACTGTATTTGCAGGCCCCAAAAGAACATCCTGCAAGTGCAGGGGATCAGTAAATATTTACTAAATGAAAAAAATTCAGGCTTTATCTTGTAGTACATGATCAGACAATGGGATAAAATATTTGGAATCAAGAATTAATCTAGCAGCCTTTCAAGAAACTTTTCAGGAATCAATTGGTTTTCTTCATTTTATGCTAATGGTTTATTAAGTTTTAATTCCAAATTGTATTGTGAACACCATTCTATAAGTAATGATAGTTTCAGTAAACCTATATAATAATGAATGCCAATAAAGGCATAGTTTTCATTGGAAGCACTGATTATGCTAGTAATTTATTGAAATTCCATTTGTACATGTACTTATGTTGAAACAAATTGAATGCAAAATTTTAAATAATGTTATTTTTATATAATAATGTGTTACATACATAATGAAGCATTTATAATCTTTACTCTTTATAAGTATTTTTCAGTTAAATACTTTCTATGGAACATAAATTGAGCAGTCTGAGCACTGCAGAAGTGAGAGAATGTAATAGATGAGCTAATATTGTCCTCTAGTGGCCAATGTGAGAAACGCACTATGGGAATCGGATGCTCTCGGAGAAGTCTATGCTTTTATCCAGATAATGTCTAGGGATTGGATGTGTCCAATAGATTATCTGCTTTTACAGTGTTGAGTTAAAAATTTTTATTTAGTATTTAAAATCTGAATCATATAAAACACTTGAATAAGCAATGAACAAAAAAAAAGGACCAATTAATTTTTTAGAAAAAGTGTTCACATTTCATTAGCAGTCAAAACATACAAATTAAGAAAAAAAAAGACAAAATCGTCCCAACATGGATGGACCTTCAGGGTATTATGTTCGCAAAATAAGCCAGACAGAGAAAAACAAACACTGTGTGATCTCACTCATATGTGGATGATAAACACACACACGGAAAAAGAGAACAGATTAGTGGTTATCAGAGGGGAAGGGAGGAGGAGGGTGAAAGGGGTACAGGGGCACATATGCATGGTGATAGATAAAAACTAGACTATTGGTGGTGAGCACGATGCAGTCTACACCGAAACTGATATATAAGAATGTATACCACAAATTACACAATGTTTTAAACCAATGCGACCTCAATAACATAAAAAAAATACAATGAAGAAAAGAGCGGTATACTTTTTTCGTATGAAATCAGTAAAAAGTTTGAAAAGAAATGAAGGTGTGAGCAAAGAGGCATTTACATTGTTGGTGGGAGCAGAAGTTGGTACTAGGTCCTTAACCTGGGGTCTTTTGGGGGGGTTTCCTGAAATTGTATGAAAATTTTTATGTCTTTGCCTTTTTTTCTGAGGAGAAGTGAAAGTTGTCAAATTATCAAAGGGGCCTATGCTCCCAAATGTTAAGGAGAAATGTGTAAATCATTTCTGGGGTGCAAATTGGCAATTTGTGCAAAAAAAGGTCGCAGGTATGTGCATTCCAGCATTGTTTTGAGGCTTAACAATTACCATCCACCAAAATGCTCAACAAGACGGGAGTTCCAGGTAAGTCTCATTCCAGCCCTAGCATGGAGTCACTGTGGCTATTAGCAATTGTGCTGCAGAATTAATGATTCTTCCACTTGTAAATTTTATTAGCAAAGGAACTAGTAAGGGAGGTTGGGTGGGGAAACAACAATTTCTGAAACTGATTTCTAATTTTTCACCAAACGGTACAATGGCACCATTGTAAGCCTTGACTAAGTCTGTCCATCTTTCCATCTGACATTGTGTTTTAGGCATGGACCCGTGTTCTTGGTTCTCAGCAGAGTGGGGGCAGAGAGGCAGGGGGCACATTATAGTATTGTGAGAACATTGCAAATTGTATAGACAAAATGTCTACCAAAGAGGAATTGTGGCTCTGGAGCACAATGAATGCACCGTTACAACCAATGAAACAGCTGCTTATAGAGTTGGATCTTCAAGATACAAGGTAAAGAGAAAAAAACCCAGTCGCTGGATAGTCCTGATGAGAGATTTTCACATATTGAGGCATATGTTAACTATTCGGCTTCAAAACTGATTCAGCTTGAACTAAAAAGCTTGACTTATGACCTATCAAACATACATGGTACGGCTGCTTAACCGTTTAAGACAAGAATGCATACTTCCCAGAGTGACATCAGCATCATGGCAGAGTGACCTTCCCCCATTGATCTTTCCCCCTCTAAGACACAACAAAAAGGACATTCATATTGCAACAGAAGCTATTCATACAACACACAGGACATCTGAAGCACCCATGCAGCTGTATATCTGAGGACTGAGGTGCTGGAATCCCCAGAGGAAGTGGAAGGAGATAAAAGGAGCTCCCTTCCTTCCCCCAGGACTGCAACCCTGAGACAGACCACGTGGCTCTCAGAGGGGTGAGAGGGGCAGCTCTCCTAGGGAAAACTGGTGTTCTCCAAAACCCCTCACAGCCCATGGAGAATCCCCCTACAGAGGGAGTGGAACTGTTGCAAGGGTACTTTCGACAAGCTAGCCCCTCAGGAGGGCAGAGAGCAACAGTGAGGCGAGAAACCTCTGAGATCGGGGAGGTGAAAGTAAGCTCCCCTCCCCAACCTGCCTGCCTGCCTGGCGCTTCAGCACAGCAGCCCTGCAACTTTGGTGAAGCGGTGCTTCAGCACGGCCCTGGCCCCAGAGGCAGTGGCCCACAGGCACCCAGGCACCAGTGGTGGTGACCTCCCAGTGCCGGGGCCCCACCAGCAGTGGCAGCGTGACTGCATCCTGCTCCCAGAGGCAGTGGCCCCCAGGCGCAAGGGCCCCACCAGCGGTGGCAGCCTGCCCATGCCCCGTCCACAGAGGCAGTGCCCCCAGGTGCCCAGGCCCCACCAGCAGTGGTGGTGTGCCCGAGCCCTGCCACCAGAGGCAGTGGCCCCTCAGCTCCCCGGGCACCAGCAGTAGTGACCACCCAGAATCCTGGCCCTACCAGCGGTGGTGGTGTGCCTGTGCCCCGCCCTCAGAGGCAGTGGCCCCCAGGTGCCCAGGCCCCACCAGCTGTGGCAGCATGCCCATGCCCCGCTCCCAGAGGCAGCAGCCCCCGGGCGCCTGGACAGCAGCAGTGGCAGCAGTGTGCCTGTGCCTGTTCCCAGAGGCAGCAGCCCGCTGGTGCCCAGGCACCAGTGGTGGTGACTGCCCAGTGCCCGGGCCCCACCAGTGGTGGCAGCACGCCCGTGCGCAGGCCCCAGAGGCAGTGGCAGCACACCTGTGCCCAGGCCCCAGAGGCAGTGGCAGCATGCCCACACCCAGGTCCCAGCAGCAGTGACCCCATAGCACCCTGGCCCCACCAGTGGCAGGGTGTGCCCACAGTCCCACACCAGAGGTGGTGGCAGCTCAGGCCCCACAGTGCCATAGCCCCAACTGCTTCAGCTAGACCATGCCATGGCCCCAGCTTCTCTGGCTCAACCGTGCCACAGCCCCAGCTCTTTTGGCTTGACTGTGACCTGGCCACAGCTGCATTGGCTCAACTGTGCCCTGCTCCCAGCTCCTTTGGCTCTACCTCCCCCCTGGCTCCAGCTGCTTAGGCTTGGCTGCACTCAGGCTCCAGCTGACTTGGCACCGGCAACTTCAGCCTACCCCACTCCAGTTCCAGCTCCTTTGGCCCAGTGGCGCTCCAGCTCCTGCTTCTTCAGCCCAGCTGCACTTCAGCTGCAGCTGCTTCAACCCACCCACACCCGAGCCCCAGCTGCTTCCGCCTAGCCATGCTCCAGTTCCAGCTGTTCTCATGCTCCAGCTCCAGCTGTTCCCACACTTCACCCCCAACAGCCTCTGCTCAGCCATGCTTCAGATCAGTCACTCTTCAGCTCAGCTGCGCCTCAGCTCAGCCAGGGGCCAACCAGAGCACTGGTGGATCAAGGTGGGCACAGAATACACAGCCCTTGATCCCCAACTAGTGGTGGCAAGAGGAAACTCGGGCCAGATATGTTCACTATGAGGAAAAATAAGCCAACACTGACAGGCACTATGCAAAAATATATTAAATATCCAGACCAAAAGGAAAATGACAAGTACCCAGAAGTCAACCCTAAAAGCACAGAAATATATAAACCTTAATGACAGAGAATTCAAAGTAGCCATCATAAAAAAGATCAATGAAATACATGATAACACAGATAGACAATTCAATGAAATCGGGAATTTCTTCACAAAAGAGATTGAAACTAAAGAAAAACCAATCAGAAATCTTAGAGATGAAAAACACAATAGAGGAGATAAAGACAAATCTGGAAGCCTTAAGCATCAGGGCTGACAATATGGAGGAAAGAATTAGCAATATTGAGGACAGCAATGCAGAAATGCTCCAGATGGAGGATGAAAGAGAACTAAGACTAAAAAGAAATGAAGAAACTCTGAGAAATATCTGACTCAATTAGGAAAACCAACATAAGGATTATAGGTATTCTAGAGGGAGAAGAGAGGGAAAAAGGAGCAGAGAACTTGTTCAAAGAAATAATAGCTGAGAACTTCCCAAACTGGGGGAAGGAACTGGAAATACCAGTGAATTAAATCAATAGATCTCCTAAATATATCAACACGAAAAGACCCTCTCCAAGGCATATAGTAGTAAAGCTGGCAAAAGTCAATGACAGAGAAAAAATATGAAGGGCAGCTAGACTGAAAAAAAAAAATGTACAAAGGAATTCCAATCAGGGTCTCAGCTGATTTCTCAACAGAAACTTTACAGGCTAGGAGAGAGTGGAATGATATATTCAAAATTCTGAAGGACAAAACTTTCAGCCAAGAATACTCTATCCAGCAAAAATATCTTTCAGATATGATGGAGAAATAATAACTATCCCTGATAAACAAAAGCTAAGGGAGTTCATTGCCATAAGACCTCCCCCACTACAAGAAGTGTTTAAGAAGGCCCTCATGCCTGAGAAAAAAAAAGAGAAAGAGGATTCAAAGTTTTGAATAAGGAGGAAAATAGGTTGACAAAACCAGAAAAATTGCAACTCTATATCAGAAATAGATTAGCAAGCACTTAAGTATAAAACCAAAGATCAAGAGATGGAAAACACCAAAAATAAATATAACCTCATCACTTTAAACACAAACTCACAACACAAGAAGTAATAAGATGTGACAACAATAATTTAGAAGGAGAAGAGGAAAGGGCTCGAATCAACTTAGTTAAGGGAATAAGAGGCAATCAAAAAATGGACTATCACATCCACAAGATGTTTTATACAAAACTAATGGTAACCGCTAACCAAATAATCAGAACAGTCACACACAATAAGTAAAGCGAAAACTAAGAGAACCCCCATACAGAACTACAAAACTGAATTGGTAGTCCAAAACACATGGGATGAGAAACAAAGAAATGCAAAAGAACCAGAAAATGAGTGATAAAATACCAACAATGAGCCCTCTTATATCAATAATTACCTTTTTTTTTTTTTTTTGGTGAGGAAGATTGGCCCTGAACTAACATCTGTTGCCATCTTCCTCTGTTTTGCTTGAGGAAGATTGTTGCTGAGCTAACATCTGTGCCAGTCTTCCTCCATTTTGTATGCGGGACCCTGCCACAGCATGGCTTGATGAGCAGTGTGTAGGTTCATGCCTGGGATCCAAAAATGCGAACCCTGGGCTTTCAAAGCAGA